ACTGCCAACTCTTGGGCTACTCTTTTACCAACGAATAGTGGGATTGACCATCACATTATAACGCCCCCACGGCTGAAAGGGCGAGCATGTTTGGTGGGAGAGGGATGCGAACCCGCGACCCACAGATTGCGAGTCGAGCGTCTTAACCACCTGGCCATGCCGGGCCTGATGCTCTATTGCACCTCATATAGTCAGGCCTACTAACAAATGATCCAAAAAACAAAGAATGTTCTAGTAAATACATTTATTTATCAACTCTGGAATGGAATTTTATAACCTTAAATATGTTTTTTTTAATATTTATCCACTTGAACTTATATAGGTGAATTTTCAACTGCACAAATATTCTTACAAGTGCATAATTTCTGATCAACTGCACACTAGGAAAAATCCCTGTTTTATACCATTACAAGCAACTATTCTGACTAATTCTTTATCAATTCAGGTTCACCTCCATAACAAAATGCAAAATTACATATGTGATTTCCTTAACCCTTTCTCACCAGGTATAACTGGTCAAGAGAAGTGATGTTACTTCCCATGGCTTGTACGTGTATTAACTAATATTAACTCTTTGAGGCCCAGATAAATATAGCCCACCTCAATTTCCATACATTAAAAAAATTCTTCAGAGTTAAAATTCGTTTAATAAAAACTTTATATTTTAATTTTCTACATAAAAATTTTTAAGAATCACAAATTTTGATTTTGGGTTGATTTAATCATGCTCCTGATGAAATGATTTGTTTAGAGAATTTCCTGAATTTTTTATTAGCATAATATGACATACAGAAATTATAACAGTTCTGAACAAAATAGCACTAATCTGCTCTTATAGCTTGAATAAAAGTGTAGTGTTATCGATTTTTAGCCAATTATTGTTTCTCAACCTCAATGAAAGCTATTTTTACATTCATTTAAGCTGTAAAAAACGATAATAATTCCAGTCCAGGGGCAATTGGGCAGAGAAGCCAGAATAAAGTGATAAAAGGTGAGCTTGGTGGTTTGCTGCTAGAAAAAAAAAAAGTGCCTATGAACAACTTCCACTACAATTATAGTCCCAATTTATCTTTTTTATTTTAAAGCTTGTTTTATCATTTTATACTTCACTTGAATTATGATGGATGTTTTTGTAAAAGATGATGAGGTAGACTTAGTTAAGTAGACTGCACCAAGCTCCATTTCACTGTCAAAGTTGCTGTGTTGGGCTTTTTTTGTATTAAGATATGTTGGCCTAAGCAAATGCTTGAATGGACAAAGAAAATTATAGAAATGAGATTATAAATGCACATACACACATAAAACTTATTATGTATGTTAAGCGAAACCTTATGATTAATAGCTTACCAAAAAAAGGTTGGCTTGCTTATAATTTTGGAACAGTAAAAAAAAAACTTATTTATACTGCACACCAGTTATTGTAAACACAGTTAAACTATGTACCTTATTTTCTGAATCAAAACAAAGATAAAATTTAGTTTTATAAAATAATGTGGGAAGATATAAAAATCATTAATTAAAATCTACAAAGATGAGCATTTTTAAGCATTTCTAAAAAATTATATCACAATGAAACCTTTTCACAAATATAAATCTGTGAATTCACAAAAAAAACACATAGAAAAATTAGATTGTATTTGCAGATGCTACATAATCTGCAGAAAGTGATTATGAGATTTCAAACTATTTTCTCAAGTAGATGATTTTTTTTTTGCTTTGCAATATAACAAACCATACAATCAGATGCACTGAATGGACACATCTGGGCCCAAAATGGTTAAAGCATTTAAAAATTTAAAATAAATTCTCATCTTATGGGAAAAAACAAGAAATAAAATCTATAACATAATAATAGTTAGATATCAAACATTTTTTTTTTAAATGTTGGCTCTTGTTTCAATTAACTGAACACCAGATAACCGAAGAATGAACAATTATGAACAGCATTCTTGTCAATAGTTTAGTTTTTTCTTCTTTTGAAGTCTAGAATATCAAATGAATGGTTTTAGTGTATCTTGTCTCTACTTCTATGAATAACTTTAGAACCTTTTTTTTTTATATAAAAAATACTGTAACATTTTCTAAATTACTATTTCCTTGTGCTGTTCATTCAGGTATGTTTGACAAAAACACAGCTTCAAATTCTGAAGATCTAGATAATACTGAAAAATCAAAAATATTTCCAAAAATCTCATCTCGGGTCAAAGTCAATCCTCCTAAAATAGTGTAATGATTCCAGAATGTACAAGCAATTGTTAAAAGTAAAGGGAGGAATGTCATTTTTGCAGGATTCAACAAGCAAACTCCAAGAACAAAATGGAAAAAAAAAACAACTACAAAGTATCAAGTCATCCAGTATGGAAAAAAGACTGTCTGGACTCAACTACTACATACTGGACAGAAGCTTTATATATACATGTATTGTACAAACATTGCAAAGTAAAAGCATTCACTTCTATGTAAGCATGCATAAATAGAAAAATATATTGTAAAATATGCATAAAACATATATAACAATTACCAATGCTAATTTGACATGAAAAGATGATAATTAATGATAGTCCCTGTTTTGAGTCTATTGTGCAAAGCAATTTGTTGTGCCTATGTGAACTAGATCTGGTCGCGAATACAAGAGCTTGTCCACTTACAGAATCACTACCTACATCATGATCTTTACTTTCTTCCTCCAATGTTAGATCATCATCTTCTTCATCAATACGGCCATGTTTGTCTACATCAGCAAGGCTTGCCAACCCTTTTTTCTCAGCCGAGGGTTGGCTGCCAAGAGAAATCGGTCTTTCTTTCTATGTAAGAACAAGGAAAGAGGCCCACAAATTAGTTTCCAATTTATTCATGTCTGTTTCGAGAAGAGTAAGGTGTCCAAATAGACACTGTTCAATGAATTATTATTCCAACATGACTTTATACATTTTCATAGGAACCCTATATGTTTATGAATAATATAAAAATGTTTACTTGTACAACAAGTACTGTATGCAGTTAATGGACTAATAACTGGGCAACTTAACCAAGTTCTAAATGAATTAGAAGTAAATGTACACAAGAAGTGATATATGTATACTGGTCTGTGTGAAACAGTTGATACCAGCAAGGCAACAGTCAGAAAATGAGAAATAAATAGTTAGTGACCAATAGGAGGAAGAAAGAATACAACAATTCAGACAAGCTAAATAAGAGAGCATAATGTATACAAACTATAAACAAATGTGAAAGTTACAGAATGTGAAATAATATTCAAGTACTGTGCAGATCTCATTTATTAAAATGTTATGCATGTACATGCAAAACTTATAATAACTATAAAACCCACCCACTTATCATATGCTTTTATTTCATGCTTAATAAATTCTTTGGAACAGTTGACAATGGTTATTTCTACATTTTTTCTGGGGCATGTGAACCTAATATTTGTGATACAAATTAGAATAAAATGAAGATGTTCTTATTCACATATTTTTCTTAATTAGTCCATTATCGATTTTAAAATATAGATGTGTACAAAAATCATTTTATATCAAACATTTGTATGACACAAATCACTGCTCAGGAAGCTTTTTATTCAAAATTATCATGGTCCAACTTAGCAGGTCATTTCTTGTAGTGAATGAAAGGTCTCTGGGCAGCTACTTGTTGCACATAAAATATGGATCTGAAATGCTATTTTTAAACACCACCGAGTATACTTAATGGACTAATTATGGGTAACATGGAGAAAAAAAAATCTATAGTGTAGCATAATTGTTATCCCTACTATTCTTGTCCTATTCTTCATCAGCTGTCAATGTTGAATACTAATACATATTTAAATAAGTGCATAGTTTTCAATAATATGCGTACAGTTTTTACAGTGCTTGAATGTATGAACACTTTGGAAAGAAAGGCTGCTGAGATGTCAAGTTTCAATTGTGACCTAATCTGCTTTTACTTTTGCAGGTGTTGTATTCGAGTATGCTGATTTAAAGCATTCACAAATGTGCTGATTCAGAACTGTTAAGAGAAGTACAAATCCAACACAGAGAGCCAAGGAAAAACAAACAAATGTCAGCAAACAGATAACCCAAAACTTTATTCACAATAAGTGTAGTCATGAATTTGCTGTATTATAACTTGTAGATTGATTATACTAGCAGCTAGGGTAGTTACAAACATATCAACATAGGAAAAGGACCTCAAGCAATATGATATATTGCACTTTTCAAATCATAAAAAAAAAGTCCAGTGCAATATCCTAAAATTCATGGATACATATGTCATCGACTATTCTAAGTAACATATACAGAGGAGAAAGCTCCAAATTCCAATTTGTACCAGATGTGCTGCTTCCCTAAAGGAGTGGACAAAGCTTCAAGCTATTAACATATGTAATCTTTACCTATGTAAAAAGAATAGCACTTGCTTATGACCTATTGACAACAGGTCAACAAGAATGTTACAACTTGAACAAACATTTAGAAAAATTACCTGACTAAAGGTATATTGTATACTAGCTATGGAATGGTAAAATTAGTAGCTATTTCAGCAAGGACAATCACTCTCCTTATCTCAGAGTCTTCTAGACTTGAACATTAGCTTTACACATTAATGGCCAAGTACAGAAGCTAATTACATATATTAAGATGTTGTTATCATTCCCTATACACAGACAACAAATGAAAAAAAAAATAAAACAAACAATCAACCAATAAAAGTAAATCAGATAAAATATTAAAATAAAGTTAAAACAAAATTAAAATACTTTAAATTCAAAATCACAACACAGAATAGAATCAATTGTAAATAAGATTTGAAAATGAATAAATTCAAAATCAGAATTAAAAATGATAAAAAAATTAAACCAAGTGGTAAATTTACGACTTCAACTATAAAAATACAAAAAAATCATACAAAACATTTTAACACTGCCCCATAAAATAAAATAATCATATAGATGAAACACAGGATCATAATACAAAACTGAAATTAAGTTAAACCATGAAATGAACTTAGTAAACAAAATTAAATTTAAAGAAAGAAAAATTTTGACTACAAACCAAAAGAAAATATAAATGAATTCAGAATACAAAAGAAAAAATATTCCTCACAGTTTACAGAAAATTGAAGAAAATACTATATTTACATCGGCTGATATTACAACAGACGTGGGCTGCTTTTATGCCTGAATGATGTACTTGTCCTATTTTTAAGATCCTTCTCCTGAGGTTAGACCCTTTCATGCCATCAAATGTGTCAACCATGGAAAGTTGCACAACTTCTCATCAATTGTGGTATGTCACATGTCGACCAATGTGTACTTGTAGTACACAACATCACTGTTCAGCAGCTAGCTTGGTTTTCATGACCACTAATGCCAAAAATATCAGAAGGTATGGAGAACAACCAGTCCACTATTGTTCAATTATAAAGTATGCCATCATGACATGCACCAAGTACTCCCAATCAGTTTGGTCAGGGTTATCAAACATATACTTGATAAACTGTACCAACTGTTCAGCCAAACTTCTTGGTGTATGTATGTTTCTCTAGGTGCACTAAGATGTGATACCAGTTGTTTAAGCAATGAGCTGCACTAACGTGTCTGCTAATGGACAAGCTTTAGCCCACTTGGTGAAGTGGTTGACCAGCACATATTGGTTAACTTTTTCAGTTTCAAGCAAAGGATCAGCTACATACAGGGTGATTTTCAATGGAGACAAATTCTGTTTCAGTTTTCCCTGACACAGCCAGTTTTTTCTTATGGGCAGCATAGTGCCTACATAGTCACCTGTCTTAATGAGAATGTGGCTGTAAAAATCATTTTTGAAAGCTTTCAATAGTACATGACACTCTCTGGTGCCCTTCAGTTCTTTTATTAAGCATAGTCAGAACAATTTTCTGCCTTAGAGCTTTGGGGACAAATATTTGCATCACAGGTTGCCTACTACATCTCAGTTGTTCATACGATGGTACAACACACCATCCTGCACTTGTAACTGATTACATAAGTGTCAGATATTGAGTGCATCATTACTGTATTTACCAGTTTGTGATGGGCATGCACTATTTTGCTGCACAGAAAGTAATGCTTAAGTCAAGATCCTTTATTTACTCTTCTCAAAGTTCTTAACTGGTCATCTGTGACATCCATACAAATGCAGTGGTTGCTCATCACTGTTGCTGCAATGGCTTTAACTGTTACACATTGTCAGAGGTCAGAACATTCAATAAACAGATATGATTTCACATATTGGCAAGATAATTTGTTAGCATCTCTATTCTGCTGACCCAGACAATTCTGTACAAAGACTGATACATTTTGAATTTTGCACAAAGCTACTCAAGGGTTATCTGTGCTAACTGTCCCTAACTTAGCAATAATAGATTAATGGGAAGGCAGCTGGTCAACACTAGCCACTGCCAACTCTTGGGTTACTCTTTTATCAAAGTGGGATTAATTGTCACATTATAACGTCCCATAGCTGAAAGGACAAGCATGTTCAATGATGGGGGATTTGAGCCTGTAACATCCAGATTTGGAGTTGAGCACCTTAGCCATCAGGCCATTGCACAAAGATACTGCACTCTTGTAGAATCATTATGCAACACACAATTTTTAAAAGCAGCCATTTCTGTGATTCTTGGTCCACTCATTTGGTGAACTCCCTACTATAAAAGTACTTGTGGTAATATACGACACATACTAAAACTGAAAGCAGTTCTTTGTTATACACTACTAGTGGTCAGGAGCTCTCAGTGTATGACTCACATTTTCATGCATTCAATGCCATCATGTACTTGTGATAAAATCATGCCAGTTCCACTTTCACTGACATCTGTATCCAGAATGAATGGACAAGCTTGATGATAAGTTAACACTGAAGCTTAGACCAAGGTGAGCTTCAAGATTTGGAAAGCATATTTGCATTCCCATTTCTATTCAAAGCACATCAACTTCAGTAAAGTGGTGCAGCTATCATTCTAGAAACTGTCAATAAACCACTGTTAGGCTTGAAAATTAGAAAGCTACAGATTTCTCATTTACTAGAAGGGTGCTCCATCTTTACTGACTATGTGACTGAGAAACTGTATTTCTGTGTGTGCACTTACATATTCTCAATTTCAAGCAAGCATCCTTGATGTGCTCAAATATCATTCTCAAGTTCTCAGCTGCAACTTCAAATGTGTAACAAATACAAGTACATTATTATCATAGATGAGACATCTCTCCTGTTATAGACCTTTTGAAAGTGACAGGTGGATTACACAGACCAAATGGCATGAAACAGAATTCATATAGTTCTTCTCAAGTATTGAAAGAAGTTTTAAGTCTACTTTCATCACCCAGACAGTAACCATAAGCCAGATTTAGGTAATGAACTAATGGGCACCTTCCAACACACCCAAACATTTATATATATACGAGGTAGAAGAAAAACACTCACTTGCATTATTACCATCACCAGCCAAAAGTCCACATAGAACCTTGGTATCCCTTCATTCTTTATGAGATACAAAATCTCTTTTGGAACCATGTAATGTTTGCTCAGTAGATCCTTGATGAATTAATGATGAGTATTTCATTGTGATCACAAGGAGACATGCTCAGGAATGTCTTCTCATGTAGTCTTCTTATATCATCCATGTAAATAGCAGAGTTTCTGTGAAGCCTTTAAGCTTGGAACTTGGCTCTATGGATAGCTCTTATCCACAGTGCCAAATCTGTAATAAAACTCCTTTACAATTGTGTTCCAATTGTCAAACTGCTCATCTTCCAAGTGCTCTAAGGCATTGAGTGTGTAAATATTCAAGTTCAATGTCAGATATTGCACTGCCTGTCCCTAAATCCACCAATTTCAAGTAATAACTTGATTGAAAAGTTTGAGGAAATGGTCAAAATCTTCCGTAGCCATCTGCTTGAAAACTGGTGGGATCTCCTGTTTCACACCACTATTATACTTAAGTTGTAATACCATCAGGTACCTGCTATCAGCTTTTCTACTGCTGTGCCACTGAAAGGCTGTGCACATACAAGGGAGGATCTTGTCTTGTCCAAAATGTTTAGAGATGTACACATCTTTCTGAATCCAGTCCTTGGGTAAAGTTTTATACAATGTGCATCAGCATCATGACAAAACACATTCTATGTGGACTTCAAGGACTAGGCAAGGTTTTGTGGAATTATCAGTGTGCCTTGCCAGTCTAGAAGGCTTAAGACTAAGTCTTTAAAATTCACTGAATCATGATGAGACACTAGCAGCTCCACCTGATGGCATCAAGATGTTTCTCTTCATACTTCCTCTGAAGTTAAGTGAATAAATCGAAGATGGTCAGCAAAAAGTTATGTAGGTCACTGAATATCCAAATAACATATAATGGGGAGAACCCTTCCAATTTGTATAAGTATCTGTGTTTCTCCTTGAGATGGTCTTGGCCCCAAGGAGTGGACACAATAATAACAAGTTTCTAGCCATTGCCATATGTAATACTTTACTTAAATAAAAGGATCAGCACAGGTTAATGACTTTTTGATATCTTGTAAACGAGAATGTTTTAACTAATTGCAGAACATTTGCATAAAAATTTAAACATAAAAAGAATACACCTGACTAAAAATATATTCCTGTTATAGAACAGTGAAATTAGTAGCTATTTCAGCTACAAGGCAAGGAATAATATTAAACATCAAATTTCCAAAACAGCATTTTTACGTATATTTGTTGAACTTCACACAAAGCTACTTGAAGGCTATCCGTGCTAGACATTTTTAATTGATAGACTAGACATAAGGCAGATAGTCCACACCACTCATCACCAACTCTTGGGATACCTTTGCTAATGAACAGCAGGATTTACTGTCACATTATAATAACCTCAAGTACAAGCATGCTTAGTGACAAGTTTCATCCCATGACCAGCGGATTGCAAGTCAAGCATTCTAACCACCAGGTCTCAAGTTTTTATGACTCTCAGAAAAGATTTATTGAAAATGTACAGAAAAAACATGGCTTTTATAAATAAATACAGGCTTGCTGCAAGCAAGTTTTTAAAAGTTCAAAATGTAAGAGTGCATCAGTTACTTTAATCACAGTGGCTAAATCATGCACAAAAATTACCACATCTCGATTCTTAAAAACTAACACAAATAACCATGAAGCAATGCTTGAAAACTCAACATTGAAACTTCAAGCATGTTGATTGTAGTTCTCTTTACTAGTTACTACTATTCATTCTGTAATATTGTTAAAGCCAGACTTCACATATGAAATAGTAAGATATAACAATAATAAAGAAAGATAAAAGCATGCCATGCAGCAACAGGCAAACAACACGAATCTATTGTACAGAAACTTTATGAAACAATAACAATGGAAAAAAAAATGGAGCTACGTGTTGTCACTTTTGTATATATCTTCCTTGTTCAACAACAATAAATCAATTAACTCAGTACCAATAGGATATATGAGCAAAAGAATATTAACTCATGTATTCCAAAATATTCATTAGGAAAAAAAATGTAAACATAAACTTTTGGAAATAATGAAACCAGTATAATACTAATGGACAAGTCAATCCACAAAACACTAACAGGACCATTCCGTGACTGAGGACGAAAACCCGGTCCAGGTGGAAGGTTTTTCTGTACGCAGCACACCACACCTGGGCTGAAATGAAGCTCCACATGAAATTTTTCTTCTGAAGAGGGATCCTATGAGAAAAAAACATTAGTCGCAATATTTTTTCTATTTTTATGCATTCACATGTACAGAAGTTTTACAGCTCCCTAAATCCACTACCTAGTTTAAATTACAGTGCATAACAAAAGTAATACCCCATGTGGGAAAATATATATGGAACTTTAAAGCCATAAAAGACAATCCATATCATCTTCTAAAATAAACTATAAGCAAGACAAAGTGTTTTACTTTGAGAACTTTTCATGTCAGCTTAATTTTTTATACATATTTCATATTAAACAATTTATAACATTAACAAAAATTCTGAGCAAGTCTATGCTGTCTGTGTTACATAGTTCATACATCTAAACCATTACTTTGTATTTCACTATGACTCTCGTTCCCAAGTTAATGAATTATGCAAATAAAGTTAATAGAGCTAAAAGTATGAAAACGAATGTAAAATACACAGTAAAGTTTGAATTTGGATAATATTTGAAACTGATTATTAACTAAAAAACAAAGCAACTAATTTTTAAGTCAGTTTAGCTTATAAAGCATCAGTTTCTTATAACCACTGGTACAAAATTAGGCTTGGTCAGATAATTAAAAGATCTATATTAAGATCAACTATCAATGTAATTTTTCAATAGTAAAAACTGTTTCTCACATTCTTCAAAAATTATTTTACCATTAGTTGACAGAACTTCAAGTTTGAGTAAATTTCAAATTATACTAAATTACTTCAGCTGGGAAGAGCTATCAACTCTTTCAGCATGGGCTCGATCCTGGGACCAACTTCATAACTGTTTTGAGTTTGTTATAGTTTTCATGCTATACCTTTTTAAATTATTAAGTGCACGTTCACAAAATTTGGCAGATTATCAGTAAATATTACTAGGCTTTCATATGCAAAATATCAGATTTTCTAAGCAATGTTTTTCTCATGCCTTTTTTCTTTTCGCATGTTACCTGTCCAACTAGCAAAGTAATTTTCATTTTAAAATTAAAGATACTTTTATGCATCAGAAAATTTTCAAATTTCACATCTGAAATCTTTATAACATCCAGATGGTTATCAAACATTTCTTAATAAAAAACTTTATATTTTATCTGTTATTTTCACTAACAAATCTCTATACAGGTTCGGACGAGTTGACCGATCTTGTAACCACTATAAAAAATTAGAAAATAAATACAAGTTATGCCTTTTTCATTCTAGAATTACTACAAATTATAACATGTATATACATTATTACTATTTACAAATAAGTTCTTAAATTTATTTTTCTTAAAACATAGAACAGTAAATGAAGAAGTACAGCAAACAATTATCTATTCTAGTTCTGACCTTTGTACTTGTTTGCTGCTTGTCATAGGTTGCTAAGCCTTATAAAATTTAGCACGTGGAGGATGTGAAAAGAAATAATTATTTTAAGGTTTTATATGTGTATATATATATATATATATATATATATATATATACACACACACACTA